CCCCCCCCCCGCTGGCAGGCGTTTCTCGTTGTTGTTGCATGGTTATGGTCTGCACACCGGTTATGGTCTGCACACCAGTGTCGTAGCCATTGCTTGGCGGTTTGCTTTTCATTCCCTGTGCCAGGGGTGACGGTAGTGGTGGTGGGCGGTTGAAAAAACAAAACAAAAAACTAAGGATAATTTCGGCACTGTTTTGGGTACGGGGGTTACGCAAGGTCACGGGGTTGTCAGACAATAGCCGTGCAGTGCTACGGACCAAAAGCCTAGCAGAATGCAAAAAACAACACACCGACTGGTTGCTGAGACAAACTGGAAAAATCAGCGGAATCAGTCATCAATGCGATCGGTGTGACGGGCGTATTCTTTGGGGTTGGTCGTCGTTCGGAGCAGAGCGTTCCCCAGCAATTAAGTCTGGTGTGGGCGGGGTCGTTTGAAGGCCTGAATAGCGCGGCTGGGTTCCTTTTGTTCAATTTGAAACCGCCGCTCATTGTTTCCCCCATTTATCGTTCCTTCCCCCCATTTGCCATGTTCGGCCTTTTGGGAGTTGTTCCAGGAATTTCTGCTGCATGCACACACACAAGATCACCCTAAACGCTGAAGGCAATCAACGCCGAACACTCGCAGGCGCGGTAGTGTACGACGTCTATTTCCCGCCCTACTTCACTGCATGCTGCAACAACGACCGACGCTTTCTTCACGAGGGTCTCTTTCCCCCGTCGTGCAGATGTACCATGCCCACGTTGGTTCTACATATGTCGGACGACGTTTGGTTGCCGGTGACGTCATAGTATCTCGTGCCCCCCCCCTCTCCTGCTTTCATTCTTGTGCCGTTGGTGTTTGTGACCCTTCGTTTTCCTCCGCCAAACGTGGGCCCGAAAAAACAAGGCAGCCCAACACCATTGTAAACCCCGACATGCCCCGTATGAAGTCAGGAGGCGCGGGGGAGGTACTAATGTAAACGCATGCCGTGGCCGTTTATTAGACCGATGACCTCGCATCCCTACAATGCCGGGACGGAGCGATATGCCGGGTGTTCGCCGGCCCAGGCTGCATTTCACAAGGATGCGCAGAAGCTGGTCATAAGCCTCGCGTTTTCTCTGTGTGAGGCCAGTTATGCCATGGGTTGGCTGGGCATCCCGGTTAACCAACGTTTCACGTTCACCCTCCGGGGGGGAGTAAACGTCTTTTGGTTTTCCCCCGTGAAAGAGAGCGTGTGAGAGAGAGCGACGCCGAAAATCATACCCTCGCGTAGAATCACCGTCGTCTCCCTCGAGCAAACAACAGCAGCAGCACAGCAGCGGCAACAGAGACGTCTTCTCGCCCGAACATGCAGCAGCACTGCTTATTATCCGTCGGTGTGCGCGAGGCCGCAACCACACGAACGAGCACCATACAACGGTGCACCGCCAAGTAGATGATGAGGATACACCCTTGGAATGAGAGCAAATACTAAATACTAGAATACTAGAAGCGAACCGTGCAAACACGTTGCAGCTGAGCTACACAAGGTTTGACCGATCGAGTCGATCTCGGCCGAGAGGGAACAAACAGACGGCGCGTTGTGTCACGCATTAAATTACATACGGCGTATTGACAGGATCGTCGAGTTGCGGGAGTCGCTTAACGGGGGCAACAAGACAAGTCACCTAAGAGTGTTAGTGGCCTGTGTACCCGCGAAGCCACATCTGAGGTATCCTGTTCGCAGTCAACTGGCATGCTGGTTATCGGTGCTCTTTCAGTAACACCTCTGTTTCACGATCAAGAGAGCGCCATCATCACGCCATCAATTAAACTTTCACTCGACAACATACCTTACAACAACCACCGGCGGTGTTGCAAACAAGCTGTGTATCCTGACACTTCGGGAATTAAATATACCCCCCCCCCCCCCCCCCCC